AATAGGGCTGTTGCCGATTCGGAGTCGCGGAGAACCTAACGGGTAACCGGGGCTCCGGCTCGACGTGCAGGAGAAGGAACGGGGTGGTTTTTAGTCAGTCAAGAGTCTGACACTCCCTCCCGCCTCACCCAGGCGGGAGCAGTCATTCGATGATTCTCCCCCTTAAAAAAAAAAGGGTAAAATAAATGCTGAACACTGTTGAAGAATGCTGCCTACACGGACTTTAGCAGACAAAATACTAAACAAGGAAACCGAATGTAGGTAGTAATAAATTGTATTTACAATAAGCAAAACATGAGTAATGCGTTGCACGAGTTGGGAGAGCTGCAGATTTAATAATCATAACTAACTTAGTAGACAATTAGGGATGATTCATACCGCAACAAACCAATTAAATAAGACCTGGAGCTACGTTGAACTTTAACTGGAAGATAGTTCTAAACTAAATTGCCCCTTACACGTGCCTGATAGTGATGTAGATACGATCGAGATGCTCTTAGGTCCCAACATAAATCAATTCGAAACTTGGACATATTTTATAGACCATTAGACCTATTTGTCTGAAGGGCATAAAACGTGACTTCTGAGCACAACTTTCGTGCTTCAGATCGGACTATGGCTGCACTTTTGAGTTTGTAAATTCTGCCTTGAGAATAAGAGCTATGCTTGACCAATTAATTTATGGCAGAACGTCAATAACTTCAGTTTGATTATATTATTGTAAAATGATCTCATCCTCTGCATTTCAGGAAAATATATAATCGTAATATTATGTAAACATGAACGATTATCTGATTGAGAATTCCCTTTCAATTGAAACTGAAAGAATGGCGTTCAATGGAGAAGCTGCTCTTATTTCATCTTATTAAACGTCAGCTCATGTTTTCAGGGAACTCCATAATATTTACCTTTCACGTTTTTAAGAGACAGCTGTGTGGTTTCAAAATTATATCTTAACTTTGGCGCGCGAGACGTATCTTATTTGTACTGTTAATAGTATTACGCCCCCTAAACGAATAAATGTGCGTAAACTATGTATTTATCAACATATGTATGTTAAACACTAATAATTAAAGTCCTCAATGAATGAACTATATTGTCCATTAAACTTCACAATCAAAACAGTTTGTTTGTCTGTTTGTATAAAAGTGTATGCCGGAACAATCAGTGGAATTCGAATATTTTTTGTTTGTGGTTAGTTATCTGAATGACTACTTTTCTTAAATAGACGTAACTAAGTAGTTAGAAGGTACTAAGGTACATAATATCGAGATCAAATAAAGAAGATAAAACCACTGAAGAATTACTAATTATAGTATGGGACATAAAGTGAATAATCACATTAAACAAATACACCCTACAAGATAATAAATATACAATGAAAACTTTATATATTATTGTATGTATAATATTTGTCTCAGTATTCGTGAGTCAGTGGCCGGTATTTAGGATAACACATTTATATTACAAGCACAATAACGCTTTGAGGGCAGATGAACATAATCTCGTTAGTAAATATACTTTTATTCGAATAACAAAAAGCACACATTATGTAAATGGGGTAAGATAAACGGATAGTTATTACACTGGTAATGTTTTGCGCAGTTTTTTAATAGGTACAATTATATTATATTTATCTTTGATATGAGTTTACTGCCTTACCAAGAAAATGTTTTCGACTAATACTTTGTGGATCCCGTCTTTATTCAATCAGCCGTTTTGGCGTGATCGAGTAACAGAGAAACAAACCTATCGCATTTATAAAATTTTTGATGAACAAGTCTTATTGTAAAAAAATTGTAATGTTTAATAGGATCGCAATCTGGATTAGTGGACGACAAAGTTTTGAGACCTGGAACGCTTCTAAAGTGTCAAATTTAAATTTTATTTTAATATAGAGGTAGTCTACATACTACTGGCATTCGCCAGTTGACCCATCACCACATTGTACCTGCAATACTCAGACAATGACTTAAGTTATAACGCCTCTTTTGTATGCAGATCAACCGCTTACCTACCGGGAACTAACTGGCAGTTATCATTTATGAGCCCATAGACTATACCATAAAGAAATACTAAAACTGCTAACGAGAACTTTAAGTTTCGACACCCTTTGTGCACACTAGCGCCACTCAGAAGAAAGTTCTTGTATCTTTATTAGGCAAGCAAAATGGCTTTAATCGCAATGTGATCGCCAGTCTCGTAATTTATAAAGTTCAAGTTAAATTCAACTATGTTTCTCTTAATTAGAATTTGCACAACGCACTTAAAGTACCAAACTAGCAAAAATAAGACACTTTCTGCAAACTTCAGGCATGACACGAACACTATCAAAGAGATGCCTAAGCTTTTAAACTGTTACTGTAGTGTTACGTGAACTAATGTATTGATTACTATTATCCTGTCGACGAACTGATAATTATGACACGCACTAATTTATATACGGGCACGACCCAAATACCAGTGGCACTATAGATAAATACCGAATGGACGTGCTTCTGTGTTGAGCTATTATTATTATGAAGGTGTATCAGAAGACTGCGGACTAATGGAAGGATGAAAGAAGCAAAAAAAAGTCTCTATAACGTGTAGATTCCTATTTATTTTATCCCATCATTATCATGGTTACAAATCAGAGTCTATAACAGTCAGAATAACCAAAATAACCATCCAAATTAGATTATAAAGCCAAAATCATTTCAAAGACATTATTCTCAATTCAACGACCACAATCTAAACTATTTTGAATTCTACAAACGACAATCTCGGTCTGTTTGTGGGAAGCTGACAAAAGGAATGAGACAAATTGTTATTTCCGCATAATCTTCGGTAAGTAAGAGCAAGGACTATTTATATTATAATCGGTGAAATCGCTTAGTATTCGATTCGTAGAGAATTCGAGGGTCCCTAACCTCAAACCCTTAGCCCCCAAGTGTATCCCCAAAGGCTATGAAAGTTTCTGAATAGATTTTCCAGTATCTTCTTGTATTAGGAACGGGTACAAAGGACCGAAAACAAGGAGAAATGTCATTGAACTTTCACGATAAAAACAGCCAACAATGCTAGAATAATAAACGTATTTTGATCTGATTCTGGCAAGACAATATTTATCAGATAGATATGAAGCATTATTGTA